ATCATACGGGGCATACTACACACAAATGAAGCCAACAGATCATGAGTTACAGCTGCGAACACATCAGCAATTTTTCGGCGATCCGCCATGACCCCCTTCATAGCATGACTACCATGATTGGAACATCAAAAACCGCACATCTATAACATTTACAGAATACATGGCTTGTTCCAAAATTTCATCACAATAAAATATTATTAGATGACCTATAAAAAATCATTAAGGTAAAAAAAAATGCATCAACTAGACCATACTAGTAGACAATGTACCAAACTACGTCCCCAATGCAACAAAGGAATCGCAAGCAACAGCTACAAACACAACTTTTTAGGCTTCATCAATTTTAATACTTGTCATGTACTCCATCCGGAGGCGGTCTGCCTATTTACCGGAATACACAGGAAAACACAGTTAAACACCGGAAAACACCGGAAAACACATATAGGAGGCTAAAATCTACCGGAATACACCCTGCTTAGACGAGATAACATCCCAAATTGCTGTGTTTTGCCATTAAATAGCGTGTAAATCGCCGCAGGAACCCGGCAACAAGAAATCATTATAATTTAGCGATCGGTGGAGGCGACCCGACCAGTCGCCATGTTTGTTTACATTGCGGACTACGCTGTTTGTTTAGCGCCATCACAGAAGAGATTATTCAGATTGATGCGGTTCCCATACACAGTGCACACAACTCCGAACTAGTTGGAAGAAAGATAGTTGCATAGGATGCCCGTGAATGATTGCTACGAGGTCGGTCTGTTGGATAAAAGCGCAAAAATCCGACGATAAAACTGCCAGACATTTTCCGGAAGCAACGCAAATCGAAGGTCAATGACCCGCACAGAGCGAGTGCGTGCGTCAGCGAGCGGCGGCATTTGATAATTTCCTGCAAAGCTTGACACTGAAATTTCATCTGATTTTGCCGAGGACAGCCCTGAAGTTTTATCGTAGTCGATCTAAAACATAATCGCCAGGATCTGAACATGTTCTCTTCAGCGATATTTAGGCGATCGCAATTCGCTCATGAGCGTCAGGGTACGCTGACTTCGGCACCATTCGATCATGAATAAAGAACACCAAATACACCAAAAATCCGGATAAGAATATTTATTTCCCCAAAAGACTTTTTGAGTTATACATTTATTCACAAGAATTTCGTTATGTAGTGGTGGAAATTAGCGTTATTTTCAATGATATACAAACAAAAACCGGACGCTAAAACTGCCAGACATTTTGCTCTTCGAGTCCACTCAGCCGCCGGAACAACGCAAGCCGAAGGTCAATGACCTGCGCCCGGCCAGTAAACAAACTCGGTCGAACACGTAACGTGTTACATCGGCACGCCACGGCATCAACAATTTGCTTCAATCAAATGCACGAAATTGCGACCAGAGTACGTCGCCGATGAAACCACTACAGTTTGGACTCTATAGTAAAAGTAGCTAAGTTTGATATTGTGACTGTTTGTTTGAGAAATAAAACTGAATCTATTGATACATTTTGGGTGGCGCGTACTTTTCCCACAGCGTGGCTTCACGTACATGTACTTGATTGACAGGCGTTCCCTTTGAAGAGGTTGCCGCCGGGCGCCGCTGGCGCCGACTAGTCTAGTCGGGCGGCTCCAATCAGTTTCGTCCATCTTCGTTACAAACACGATCTGCACCGACTATAACCGAGCCTCTGTGATTGGTTTCCGAAGAATCTCGAAAATTGCCGAATATAAAGAAGATTGTTCTCCAGCGTTTGTTTGTGTATACAGTGCGGAGCTAGAGCATTCAGACCAGGCATAAAGGGACTGATGTTTCCGCACAAAACCAATCGTTTTTCTACTCCAATCGCCTGTTGACACGACATATGAAGTCTTTCACTATATAGCTTTCATTATATAGCTGATTGCTGAAGTAGTCTTCTTGATTGTGAAAGAATTGATGATATTTGCTACTGGAAATTCGACAACAAACACGCCCGGCGTTGCGTGTGCGTCGCAAGCCAAACTTTAGGAAGCGAGTAGACAGTAGGTCCTTGTTCTAACATGAATAATTCCTGCCGAATATCACTAGAAAAATTGTCCAGATGTTCTGCTTAATTTAAAATGATAAACTGGGGTTAAAAAAAACAGTTTTCTGAGCTGAGAGTTGGCTAGGGCGGGAAGGTATCGAAGGAGCCGGCGGCTTGCCCACATCGGCAGCGCAGCGTGGATCCGGCAGCGTTTGCGACAAATCGAGGCCGCAACACGTGTGGCTATGTAGTAACATTGTTGTACTAATACATGTAGTAATCTCTGCTGCTTAAACAAGCATCTAAACGAGGACGAAAGATCCAACGTAACGAGGACCAAACACCCATGACCACGAGGACGAAAGATCCATAATATAATAGGACAAGAAAAACGGTTCATCATTTTTAGAAATTGGCGTCACATGATTGTCACTGAGAAAACGTGACGGATAAAGGTTCACTAGCGTTATAGCCGGCTGCTAAGTAAACAAACATGGCGTCTGACCCGGGTCGACTCCGCCGATTCATAGTGATTTCTTGTTCCCAACGTCATCTAACAAAGTCATATACGACTTATTTCATGCCAGAATGTAGCAACTTGCGGTACCTGCATCAAAGACCTCTTCATTTCGGTAAATTTCACTTCTGTACGGCGATCGCGTTAAACAAACATTTCGTAGTCGGCAATGTAAACAAACATGGCGACTGGTCGGCTCGCCTCCGCGATCGCCGATCGCCAATAATTTCATAACGATTTCTTGTTTCCGCGGCGATATACACGTTACTTCATGTCAAAATACAGCAATTCGATATGTTATCTCATCATATCAGGGTGTATTCCGGTAGATTTTAGCCTCCTATATGTGTTTTCCGGTGTTTAACTGTGTTTTCCGGTGTATTCCGGTAAATAGGCAGACCCATCCGGAGGTCATGACTTCCTTCACGGAGTAACAAGCAAAGAAAGTAGGGATATGAGAAAAGCCCATTCTGCATTCAAAAGTACATGACAGGCTGACACAGTGTGCAAACGACATCAATGGTGAACCAGAGACAAATTGCCACACCACTAACATGAACGAATGAATATGAATTTGGATATTAAACTTTGACATGGATCTTAGAAATTTCAACCATCACTTCTTTGAGCTTCTTTGAGCAGATACATGTTGTACCAAGGAGGTTAACCTCCTTGGTTGTACCCATGCTAGAAAATAGTGTGAAGGAAGAAGTTGTATGAAGAGTTTAATTAGTACTTCTGTCTAGTACTCTATTTCAAGGTGTTCAATATTGGGAAACAGTCTATTTTTATCTTTTTTTTTTGGATGTCATGTATCAATTATTATACTGCAACACAACAACAACCTGAACATACATAATGTATGGCAAATCTTAATAACAAGTTAGAAACTAAACTTAAACTCTAAGCAAATTTCTACCATTGGTAGAATTTACTACATTGTAATAAGCAGTTTCTTAGATTACATGTATATATGTCCTAAGGCTTTTATCAATAATATATTAGATTCTGCTATAGAAGGTGACAGGCATGTACATAATATATCACACATACCATAGTATAACATTTTATCAATTGGAAACTTCAATGAGAAACGGATATTATACATTTAAAGTTAAAATATAGGAATCATCTGCTTTATACACCTAGGTCATTGTACACAGTTAAACACATTGTGCTTTTACAAAACATTACAAGGTCACCAATTTAAACTTAAAGTTTGTACTACAAAATCACCAATAAATTCAGTTCATGACTGCTATTGACAGGTGCTGTGATCACATCGGTTGAGGCCTGGCTAAGACAGTGATTAAGATAATTTTTTCTTCTAGACACTTTAAAATGTATTACTTACTAAATATGGTATTGGTGAAGAAAGGTTGTACATATGATGGAGAAGCCATAAAAATCCTTTTACTTAACCCAGATATAAATTTGTGTAACAAGTTTAAGGTGAATACAAGTTCTAAACGGGAACTATATGTGGCTTCAGATGTCTTATTGAGAGACGACTGCATGTGCGAGATGTCAGTAATAGCTTGAGGAATATATATTTAGATAATTAAATATATGTGTGTGTGTGTGTGTGTATGAGTGTGTGTATGTATGTATGTATGTATGTACATGTATGTACATGTATGTATGTATGTAGCCACAGCTGCTCCGCTAGAATCTACCGATTACATTATAACCTTTGTGATGAAAGCAATCCATAGCAGTCCGTAAGGAAATTGTTAATCAAGCAATGGACGAAAAATAGCAGATGCTACCAGTACTTGATTTAATATTAATGTCTGACAACGGTTTTAGAAATCTATCCAGTTGCTTGAGTAGCAATTTCCTTACGAGTGTATCTCAATTTACCTGGATATCTTAAGCCTTCATCTGATTCAACATAAATGAAAAAATCATTCTTTAAAATGTTGAGTACAAAAGCAAGTAATCAAAAGCAATTCATTGTTTCTAGACTTGTTCTTGCACTTGAACTAGAACTTAGGACAAAAGCTGTGACAATGACACTCACACAGAAATCGTTTCCAGCACAATGATCATGACTGAAAACCCTGCCGCTAAAACACATACAGAACAGGCAGCATAGAATGTCATGGTTACTTTTGTACTCTTCATCAAAAGAAAGTTCCATGGCCCCATGGCCAAAATCCTAATGCCAAAAATTGATTGGGAAAGAAAAGTTGCCAGTAAAATTTTGCCGTTTGTCAGATACGGTAGTTACTAGTACTCTAGCCTGAGTGCAATCTGTTTTGTAATGGGGCTCCTTGCACTCGCTGATAAGAAAAAAGCATCTCACGCTGGTACATTCTTCTGCTTTTTTTGGGTGAGTGCATGTACTGTACTGTACTGTACTATCCTGGAGCATGGAGCCCCTTTAAAAAAAACAGCACCCAGTAGTGTAGGCTATAGCTCAATTAATAGTAGTATAACTTTTGTGACACAATAAAGGATAAGAGACGTCCCAACTTACAAAGAGCGGCATGTCTGTCTTCTTCTCCAGTCCGTACAAAGTTCTTGAAAGCATCATGGATCATCGACGTCCTTTGGATGGAATCTGTTAACACAAGTAAGGTATCAATAACTACATGTAGCTAGAGGTGAAGGCTCGGGTAACTGGTCGTTCCATAGCCTTTTACAGGCCATAAGAGCAACAGGCTGTCAGTCCATTGTGTTTAGCTTAGGGCACTATATAAATATTGGAAGGCGGAGCCCATCCCTCTCCTCCCACTGCCTTTTACATGTACCTCCCCAAATGGGTCAGGTACTCTTTTTAGTTTACACCTGGGCAGAGTCATGCTAAGTGCCTTTCCCAAGGACACAACGTCATGCCAGGAATCAAACCCGTGACCGCTCGTGTCCTTTGTCTCCTACTGTGCTAGCCTTACCCCCCACACATGTAGTGTATGCCATTCAATGACGATCTCAGCTTCTTTTGTAAAGACAATGACAGTGTCTGTATCTGTCTGTATCTGTATAGTCAGTATAACCGCCTTTCGGCGTAACACATCAGCTTCGCAGGCACACGACGCGGCGGCAGCTGGCTGCATTACACCGATCGACTTGTTACACCTAACCCTTGAACATCTAACTCTAGATTTTGTTTAAAGCTATCTAATGACAATGCCCCTGCTGTACTTGTGATCATCTACTGACAGTCTGATCATTAAAAAAAAATTCCATACCATTGCTTTCCTGATATTAATTTTGCCTCTTCCCAGTCATCTAATTTTTTTACCCCGCAGCTGAAAAGCCTTCGGACTTCTTGAACAAAAGCACTCAGCTATAATAAGTGGCCAGGTCAAGAGTCGACATGCACTGAAGACTGCCATGCATGGTCAGTTTGCAGGGTGTCAAATTTCCCACTTAACCATACCGCTAAATACACATATGAGTACTTATGCAAATTCTTGGTTGGTGCCAAGCCAGGAAGGATTGGTTTAGTACAAAATTGTAGCAATAGTACAAACATACAAAGTTTGAAACATAAACAATGTATATAATGTTACATGTAATAACTAAATGTTGTGCACCTCAGTCCTGTTGATTTGGAATAGAAAATGACTTTTAATATATACTAGCAGTCAGAGTTCTAAGATGCTTCAAGAGTCAGAGGCTATTCACAAATTGACCACAATACCTTTCTATATTTACATTTTTTTTACAACAAAATATTATATTTAATCGATATCTAACATTAATTAGCCATACACCACCTGATCCAAGACAAATTTGTGATCAAGAAACAACAGGACTATGAAAGGCAAGTGAAAGAAAAAATAGCAAAATCTTACCAAGTTGGAGACTGGAAAACATCTAAGTTAACGTTACAACTTACAAGTGTGCAATAATTTGTTTAAAAGCAAGTAATGCATACGCACCTTGTTAACGTTTCGGTACTCGAATCCAGACACCCCTGCATGTAACCACTGCAAAGCACGTACATTAAGATCGACGTCTCCACATGTCAACTTCTACAAATCATCATGGAGGTTTTATATTTATGCAAAACGCAGAATAACGCCGGTAGTTCGTGGAAACCCGGAAAAAGGAGCGTCAATTTCAACTTTGAACTTTGACCAAGCTAGTACGCGCCAATTTACTTTTAACCTTTAACCAGAGATACCAAAGAGTCTTTAGGGGTGCAAATTGCCGAAATAAGTAAAGCATACAAATTACACAAATATTGATGATTTCTAATTTTAAGATTTAAAAGTTTATTGTCAATGTATTCTAAATCATATTATAGAGGACATCTTTACTGTATTAATAATTATCGTAGTGCTACCCTAGTTTAGAGTGGACTCGTCCAAAATGGCAGCGACGAGAAGTTCAGAATCGGGCAAATCTCCGCAAACTTCAGGGTCTTTATTCCCACAACCGAAGGTCAGGGGCAAGAAAAAGCGCGTGAGCAAGAAGAACAAGTCCGCCTGGAGAAAACACAGCGATATCAAGGACATAGAGGACTTTCTTGACGATCAGAGGCTTCAGCTAAGAACTGGGTAAGTGCGCACATAGCCATACATACACGTGCATGCCCCCCTCCCCCTATTTTAAATTCCTTATGTCCTGGAAAATAATTTACAAACGAGTTGAACCATACTAGGATCCTCCATTAAAAGATTGGTACTGATAGAGTTCAGGGAAAATGTAACATATACATGTATTAAGCATACACATAATAAATAGTTGGTGCTGATATAGCCGTGGCGACTCTTGACTCGGGCTTACATTGCATTACCCTCAGCAAGAGTCGTGGAAAGATCCATTGGCAGAACTGCACATTTCCCTTTGGCTGCACGATCCTCCGTTTTTGACCCGGTTTTTTGCTGTCTCGAGCTTCCCTACAATATAACTCCACAATTGGCCGGTTGCCGATGTTTAGATCAGCCTAAATATTCCACAGCGCGACAGAAAAGTAGTAAAATAGCTAGTCGGCACAAGCTGGCGGCCATCTTGGATATAGTCGGGAATGTCCGCTACCGCCGTCGGGAACGCTCGGTAGCCTTTCCGGTTATAATCGGAGAGCT